TGTTCTTTGCCACTCCCTCACAAACATCTACACAGATGAGACTGCCCAATAGCTGGGGTCTCAACTGCTACTGGTCATATGCATTCTCCGTGGTAACAGGATTTCTGTGTCCATAAATCCTCTGGTAAGACCCCCTAGTTTGGCTGAAAGCAGGAACCAGTTGGCCATCCCCTACCACTGCAATCATCACCTCAGCATCTCATTCATCTGGGTAAGCTTCTTGGCCATTTCAGGATGATCAGGTCCATGTTTGTGCCCACAGTGGTCCACACCAAGGAAGTGAGCAATCAGCAAGTCCCACTCACCACTGTTCACTGCAAAACAAGAAAACTCCTGTCACACAGTAGCCTAGGATTCAGAATGTGCTCTACTCCCAGATCCCTCTGTCAGAGCTGTCTGGCTGCTTTGGAAACTACTGCTTTTTCCCCTCTTTCCAAACAAAGGGGACACTCAGGAAAAGGAAAATCCAGAAATCCAGTTCTTCCCTGAAGATATTTCAAGTTAGACTCATCCATGTGCCTCTTTGCATCCCATGTGGAACATGGGCCCAGCATACTAATGCTGTCCCCAGCAAGGGACATACCCCTCCCCTCTGCTCCAGGGTCTCAGAACATGAAAATCAACACATTTGCAGTTAAATGACAAACTAAATGACAAATTAAAAGACAATACTCATCATTAGGGGAACTTCTTCACCTTCATCTTAAAAGACCACCGCAACTTTGACTTGTCTACATTTATATACACACAAAGCAAAGAACACTTCCCCTAACCTAAGTCTCAGAAAGGAGTCTGAAATCACATAACATTCACAAATCAATCTCACGCTTCAACTTCTCCTTGAGATTGGGAGCAGCAATGTGCTCTCACCTTCCATAGGGTAGCAGGACCTCTGAGTTTGTCCTAAAGCACCGCCAGGCAGAGAAGTAAAGAAAAAGGAAACAGCTGCTCCTCTCGGCTGTGTATTTCTAGGACAGACAGTCAAAACTGCAGCCCAGTCCTATCAATCAGCCCTACCTCCCAAATGGAGAAAAAGTATTTAGAGAAACAGTTTATCAGTCCTCAAAGCTGGCTTATCTGAGGAAATCCAGCTACAGTGCTCTAATCCCTGGGCAGCAGACATGAGTGGGTGCCACTGCCCAATGCTATCATGTAAAAATTCTTCAGTCCTACCCCAATCTTGCAGTAGGAACCCTGTATAACATAAGAGTTAGATCAGCCTTCAGGGAAGAATTGCTTACCAGTTGGATAAAGATACTCCAAGATCCCGTTGTCCACAGTGTGAAGATCCTTCACATTGAAAGAAGGGAAAAAATAAGAGCGGAAGAACTTCTTCGGGAAGAGTCCTTCCCAAGTATCATCACCCATGAAGACCACTCTTCTTCCTGAGGCAGAAAGAAATGAATTAGTGAGAGCAGGAAGCCCATTTGAGTCAAGCCATTACACACACTAGTACAAGCCTGGGAAGATCCAGGTCAGCACTGGCTCCTCTGAAACCCATAATAAAAGAGACTGAGACTTTAAGTCACCATCCGGTTGCAAGTGAGTTTGAATCAAGGGAGAGGTCTATCCCCTCTCTAAGCCTCTAAGTGCCCACAGCTCCCAGTAAAGCAGCACAACCTCATTACTTATCATTAACCTCTGCCATATCACTTTAGTAGAAAGATGCATAGACTAAACAGGCCAGAAAGTAGACAGTCGTCCATTTGTATGACTGTAGTACTGAGCAGACAGCAGCACCAAGGGCTGCACAATCCAACTGTAAAACACAAGGCAACAGATGGCTACTGACAGCAGATGATCAAAAGCTGAGCACTAGGCTCCAACTTGAAACATAACTGTGGGGCTTTTATACGTAGAAAAGGCAAGAGCATGGATGCTTACCACTGCCCACACTTTGCCTGCCCTTGCCATATCTGCAACCAGCCACATTTCTGTGTTTTCAGAGAGTCTCCAGCCTGGCAGCAAAAACCACCTCCCCCATAGCTAATGCTGTGCAACAAGGTCTACCAGTGCTTTTGCACTCTGATGACTGTCTGCATTTGCCTGCCTTGCTTGCACGGGAAGCTGACAACCCAGAAACATTGCCTCATTCCAAGCAAAAGCACAATTGGCATTTGTGGCACTTGAGCCCTTAAAAAAATCTTTCTAAGTAACACAAGACAGCATCATACCATCCTCTCTCTGCTCCATCATCCCATCCTAACAAGAAACTCTTTACTGCCTCACTAGGCATATTTAGGTAACATCAAACTACACATAAAGTGTGGTAACAGAAGCAGACAAGTGCACTACCTGTGTGAGGTTCTCATACCACACGTGGCCCTAGCTCCGCCCTCATCAGGTGTCTCACCTAACTGCCAACTGACTTGCAGTGCCCTTGGCTTGTCAGAGCCACTCCTGGCAGTGACCTTGCGACAGCCACCACTAGTACAGCCACTTTCACGTGTTTCTCACCATCTTTGAATAAATCCTAAGCCAGATCCCAGCTTAGGATAGAGAAGATAGAACAAGATAGAGAAACCCCAACTGCGTAACAGCTTCAGCCAAGTCTGGGGTAGGGTGAAAGAATTAGCTGACTGGCAGGAGGTGTGCTAAACAGTTCCCTTGATACAGAGAGAAGAATAAAGGTCCCTCGTGAGCACTAACAGGTGCCTTCTACATGGCCTTCCATGACAGGACACCACACGTACCATTCTGCACCAGCTGTGCCAGCAGGTTGTCCTCCTGGATCGCATAGGTAGCAAAGTTACTGCCCACATCAATGAAAGTGGGCAGTGACCCAGTGGTGAGGCCCTTGATGCGCTGCATGGTGGCAGTGGGGGGATCAGCTACGAAGCGGTAGAGGCGGGCATGGTGGGGTTGAGAGGTTGCCAGGTGGTGCAGAAAACTCAGCTTATTCTCATAGGGCAATGGGTTGACCTTGGCTGGGTTAAACAAGGCAAATTCAAAACGGAGTGCATCGATGATAACAAGCACGATCTTGGGAAAGCGCTGGGGCAACCAACAGGAGCCTGGGGGAAGGCTCTGCTTGTCCCACGGTGGTGGTGCAAGTGGGTCTGAGCAGGAACTGCTGTTGGCAAGCTCAATACGGGTGAGCAGGAAGCCACTCATGAAGAGCCCAATACCAGAGAAGAAGAGAAAGCAGACCCAGGCCAGGAAAAGCAGCACTGGCCACCGCTGCATCCTATGGGGAAAGACAGATAAGCTCAGTCCCCACAGCTCTACCTGAGCCAGGTGACGCGCTCCTGCCAGTACCCATCCCTTGTCAGTGCTCTGCACACCAGCACTTCTGTCCCCAGCTCTCCTCATAGCCACCAGCCACTGCCCCGTGACTTTGTCCCACACCAGCCAGTACCACACCTGGTACCACCTCCCCTGCAGATTAACCCCTTGTACCCTCCTGCCCTGCTGCAGCCGATCCCCTCCCATTTTCAGCTCCCCTTGCACTTTTCAGCCACTCTACCAAAATCCCCAGGCACCACAGAGTAACCCAATCCCCAGCCAGCCCCTCACACCTAAGCCTCTACCTTACCCCCCAGCACTTCTCTAGCACCCTGACTGTCCTCCTACCCAACACCACACAGCCACTTTCATAACCCCCAGCCTGCTGCCTAAACCCCAACACCTCACACACCCCCCAAACCTACACCGTGCCATCCTCACACCCCCCAAACCTCTCCTGTACCCCAGACCAACCACCGCTCCCTCTGCCATTGCCCAGTACTCTGGCTCCTCCCGCACTCCAACATTCTTCTCCGTTCCTCCCATTCCCCTCCCGACCACCCCTCTGCATCTCGACCTCCCTCACAGCTCCCCCATCCCTCACCATCCACCATCCTTCACCCACCGCGGCCCCTTCCGTCTCCTCATGGTCCTGTCGCTACCATGCATTACCCTAGCACTCCCGCCCGGACACTCTTCCGCCGCCACGACCTCCCCCGTACGGCTCCAGTTGTTCTCAGCCCCCCTCATTTCCCCCCCCCCCCCACCCCACATCCCTCCCAGCCCCACCGCACCCCACTCGACTCACCTGCGGCCGCCGCGGCCCGGCCTGAGCCGCCCCGGAAGCGCCGGCGGCCCGAGAGCGCCGACGTGCGGCGGCGGCGGATGTGACAGCGCCCCCTGATGGCCGTGTGAAATTCCGCCGGGCTGAGTCCTCCGAGCGCCTTTCACGAGGCCTGAGCACGTCCAACTCCTCCAGAGCGGGATCCATTAATTAAGTATTAATTAAGGACGTGAAACTATTAGGAAGTGCCCAAAGGAGGGCTGCGAAGGCCGTGAGAGGCGGCTGAAGGCCCTGAGTGTGCTGGGCCCAGAGCAGAAGAGCGGAAGGCAGCGCTGAGCTCTGCTCTGTGTGACAGCGACAGGGCCGAGGGAACGGCGTGGAGCTGCGCCAGGGGAGGGCCGGGGGGTGGGGAAAGGCTCTGCAACAGAGGGCGGTGGGCACGGAACGGCCTGCCCAGGGCAGCGGGCACGGCACTGAGCTGCTGGAGCTCAAGGGGTGTTTGGACACTGCAGTCACGCATTGGGTGAAGCCATCAGTTGGATTCTGTGATCCTTATGAGTGCCTCACAACCCAAGATATTCCATGATTCTATGGTAACATACCGCAGGGAACACTCCAACCTCTGCCCCTGCGTCCCCAGTCCGCTTCTGCACCTGATGCAGGAGGCTCAGCATTTATCCTCTGATCCACAGACCACTCTGATCCCTCAGCTGGTATATGCCAAATTCCAGAGCTGCCCTCCCTCCCCCTGCATACTGACACCCGCACCAGTTTCTAGCATGCTCCTGTACCCACTCCTGAGTGGCACCAGCAACAGCTTGAGCTACTGCATGCAACCGCTGGCACAAGGCCTTATGAAATTTCAGTGTCTGGTGGCTCTTGGCTCCAGGCTCTTCTTGCAGATTGTCACAGGCTCAGTGCCTCTCAGGTCAGTTTCACTTCATGTTGCACCCCTCCACGTTGGGACATGGCCCTGAGTACCAGAAGGATGTTCTGCAGCAACGGTACTATTTATTACATGATCAGATTCAGATACAAAATAAGGGCCAAGGGAAGAAGAAGAACGTCTGGCTGGGGAAGATGGCAGAACAGGGCTCCCCACAGCCTCACAGGCCCTGGACAAGTATCCCCTTTCTGGTGGGTGCTGTCCCATCAGCGTGTCCAGTGTCTGTTCAGCCCCACTAGCTGGAGGTCACCTGCTCTGCCTTAAGCATCTCTGTGCTGGGGGGCTGAGGATCCCCATGGGCTGGAGGTAGCTCATCCCGAGTCTTCACAGCTTGTGTCTTGGTCAGTGTGGTGTAGATGCCCAATGCCTGCAGGAAATGAGAAAGCTATCAGGGAGGAGATGAGACACAGTGGATGATACAGGAACAAAGATGGTCATTTGTCCCTAGAGAGGGCCCTGTGAGACAGCAGGAAGAGTACTTGCATCAGGTCTATGTCAGAAGACAGGGTGTACATAGGGCTGGGACAGAGCACGCCCCACAAGTAGACAGGGCCCCAGCTTTTCTAAAAGGGCTCTGCTCAAGGCCTTGATGTTGCCATGCCACATCACCATTTTAAGACAGCTATACGGAGAACAGATAGCACACAGCAATGCCTTCAGGAACCAAGCCAAATCCCTGTCTACATTCAGTTCCATGCCAGCAGAGAGATGGTCAGGAAAGAGGCAAATTTACATATCAAGCAGACAGAGAGAAGTCAGCACTTGCCTAGTATTTTCACCAGCTTGTTCTGCCCTCTCTTCCACAGCTGCAAACCAGCACAGGCCCATTTTGCAACTAGGGACTGTCACAACTGGGACTGTCTGGTTCCCACAGGATGCTGCAAAGCAGCTGCTCCAGCCCACACCTTCTATTCCAGACCCACATGCTGGGACAATTTCCTCATCTCCACACCTCCTCTTACTCAGCACAAACATCCATCCACCAGGGCAAACTGAGCTGTCACCTTCACTATCCCCCAACAAACAGGATCCCATTGCTGACACTGACCTGTGCTACCATGTGGGTGACATCACCAGTGTTGGTTGGGAGCAGGACCGTGTTGGAATCTTTGGCAAGCTTGGAGAAGGCGCTCACATACTGCTCAGCCACAGAGAGAGAGGCTGCTGCACTGCCATGCTGGAGAGAGACAGATCAGGCTCATCAGGAAAGATGCCGAGTCATGTACCACCAAGAGCTCAACCCAGCCTGTCCTACACGGCAGCACATTACAGCAGCAAAACTCCTCACTGCTGCACAAGTTGCCAACAGACATCAGGGAGGGATGGAGGGAGCATGCAGGAGGGAGGGAGCCATGTGCCACCCCCACTTAAGTTTCACCTCTCTCAATGCTAGCGCCAAAGCTCTGGCTTCCCTCAGGAGCCATGGCTTACCTGCTGTGCGAGAGCAGCTGCCAGAAGCTGAATGGCCTCAGCCTTGGCCTTAGCTCTGACCAACATGGCATTGGCTTCTCCTGCAATGAAGCACAGCAGAATGCACATCAGAACTGAGACAAAGCACTTGCAAGAACTACAGCAAGAAAATTTCATTCATGCAAAGCCCCTTTTTAGATAACAATAACCCAGTGTTGTTCTACAACAACCTTCCTGCTTCCCCAGGCTGTGGAGGGGCCCCTAAGGCCTAGCAGAGAGAATGAGCAGCTGAGGAAGCCTGGCCCACAGCAATGCAGTCTGCTCTCAAGGAGAATCAGCCCTCAGTACAGAGCAGTGCAGATCCCCCCCAGGCCCTAGTATTCAAGACATATTCCAGTCGAAGGCACTACCAGCAGCTTTGTTGATTTGTTCGGCTTTCTCAGCTTCTGACGCCAAGATCTGGGCTTGCTTCTGCCCCTCAGCCACGTTGATAGCAGACTCCCGCGTCCCCTCTGATTCCAGCACTGTTGCCCGCTTCCGTCGCTCTGCCTCCACCTGCAAAGACAGGAGCTGAGGCTGAATCTGGCAGGCAGCTCCGCACCACACTGCCAGTCGCTCACTGCTCAGCTCCCAGTGGGACATGGGAGAGAATCACAGAAAAAGGAAGAAGTATAACTTCTTTATAAAGATAAAAGCTATTTAGTAAGACAGCGAAGGGAGAGAGAAGTAACACTAATGATAATTATATACACATGCACAGTTTTACAAAATGAGAGATTCACAAAGCAATCGTACACCTCCCACTGACTGATGCCCAGGCAATCCCCTAGCTACCTCCCCAAAGTTTTTTTAATTTTGTCACCTATCATAGGGTATCAAACATTGCTTTGACCAGTTTAGGTCAGCTATCCCTGTACTGCCTTCTCCCAGCACCCCGCTGGGAAGGGCAGTATGAGAAGCTGACCAATATATGCCCTTGATTCTGTACAGTGTTGCTGAGCAACTAAATCATTGGTGTGTTATCAACATTGCTTTTTTCTTCTAGAGCCAAATTACAGCACCATGCCAGGCATCGCAGAGGAAATGAACTGTGTCCTACATAAAAGCAGGACAACAGGTCAGCAGCCCACCTGCCACAATGCTCTGACGAAACCCCACCCACAGGGAGAGGACAGCAAAGACACATTGCTAACATTCCACTTGGACAAGCATGGCTTAGCACAGGGTAAGAAGATGGCTGCAAAACGTTAAGAGATCCCCGGTGTGGGCTGGTTCTCCTTCTTGGGATTTTAAAGGGAGCCAGCAGAGCTTGTGTGTACCAGGCAGAGACCTCCACTGCAGGAATAAGGATCAGATTTACTCAATAGCTGTGCATTTGCAGCCAAAGTGCCAAAAGGCTTCCTCCCCTGCAGAACAGTCCGGTGCTGTAAGCTCCGGATGGAGAACAGTGGTACTGAATGGAAAGGGTGGCTTATGTCTCATTCCACACTGTTCACCCAGAGAGCCAAACCTGCATCTGCATAGATTCCTTCACACGTGGGGGCACGTGAATGTCCTTAATCTCATAACGTAGACACCGGATACCCCAGCAGTCTGAGGCTTGGTTGATGGCATCCACTATGTTGGCATTGAGGGACTCACGTTCCTGGAATGTACAGATGAAACAGTAGAGAAAAAAGAAGAGAATACAGAGATCAGAAGGGATGCAGACACGCCCCCTGTGGGCCAACATTAGCCAGAAAAGCCCTACTTCAGGAGTCAAAGGCAGGGCTAGATGTTCCCACTATCTCTTAAGGTCACATTCTCCCAATGAGGGCAGTGACTAAAATCAAAATTGCTGATACACTGCCGTACATCGGTGTACAACTGGATACAAAGATCTCTCCCAGGAATGCAAACAGTTCCTCAGACCACCAAAAAAAAAAAAAAAAAGCAGCATGGGGGTTACAGCCCACTTGAACACGGTCAGGATGACGCTCATCTCGGGCTTGAGCAAAATGTTGATGATTTGAGAGAAACAGAACTGCACCATCCAGGTCAGGGCACGGGGCACGAAAATAACTGATGCAAGACACATCTCCAAGGATTCACAAACAGGCTGAGAGAAACAGAAGCCAGAAGCTCTCTAAATAAAATGCATTTTGGTATTAAATGTATCAGCGTGGATGCACAGAACCCGCAGGGTTTCGAGAAGCTGTCAGATACTGGCAGCTCCAGTATCCACCTCCCCAACTCACCCGGAAGACTCTATCAAGGGAAAGTTTGCCAAGTTCAGATCTCATCGTGGTCTGGGCCAATTGGGTCACAGCATACTCGGGATCCTCCACCCCATAGCTTGCCTGGGAAACAGAAGCAAAATGTACAAAGTCTGTGGTAATGCTGAAAGGGACATCAGGAGAGGCAGAGTGGGTAAACCTAGCGCTAAGATGAAAGATCTGCTGCAGACATGCTTGCTGAGCTCCTCTTCCCAGAGAGCAGCCCCAGGGAAAGGGTACTTTGCCCACCCACCCGCATAGCACATAAAGGATGGAGCACGTGTTTCAGAGTAAGGTGAGATGGGAGAGGCCAGTAAATTGTGCATGAGGGGCTGCCATGGTAGCCAGTACGCTGGGGCTGCACAGAGCCCACTGGGCACAGCCAGAGCTGCAGGCTGCCTCATGCCTTCAGGTTGAAGCTTAGCCTCAGCATAGCAGGGATGGTACCTTGTAGGGATCCATGACACGCAGGTAGAGCACTCCATCAATCTGCAGGGTGACATTATCTGCCAGGAGAGAACGACACATTCTGTTTATCAAAGCAAATGCATGGCACCTCCTCTGAGAGAATTAGCAGAGCTGTGAAAGGTGGTCCCTTTCCTGCTTTAGCATGGCAGGTGTTGGCCCTTGGAGGCTGCGAAATTGCTTTTGATAAATTCTTTGCAATACCAGGCAGTGTTATTAGGAAAGTCAATGATCATAGATAGGAAGAAGTTAACCCATCTGATGGTGACATAGCTTCTGACTACAGAACACCCATCCTCAGGGCGGGGCCTTCATCCAGGAAACGCTCTCGCTGTGGAGGCCAGTCCTCGAATGAGCCAGGGAGGCGTCCACTCCTTATGGTCATGTGGAAAGCAAAGGTGAACTGCTTGCACCCGTGCTTCCTGGGCCAATGCTTCACCAGGTGCTCAATCATCAGTTCAGGTCATGACATAACAGTTTCCTAACAGCTGGATTAGCAGAAATACAGATCCTTGTGCAAAAAGGGCTCCTACATCCTCTACAAAGTGCCTTATTTTTACAAAAGAAATCTCAGGCCTTGATATCAAGATGTTTCATGCTATAGTGATGCTAACAGATAAAAGTTTAAACGAGAAATAAACAGGATGCTTAACATTAGAATTTTAACAAACATGCCCACCAAATTGACCTGAAATATCTGTATGACACAAAAACATGGGAAGATCTTCCTAGTTGAAAATGGAAAAACATATAAATTCTGAAAAACTGATCCCTTTCTGTGTTGAACAGATCAAGGCAGTAGTGGAGCAGCCCAGACAGACTGACAGGGTTCTCCTGGTCACACTGCCACGGGTATGGGCAAGCCTGGATCCCCAGGACAGGGCCGAGTGCAGGAGCCCGTGACATTTCTGACCACACCGCCCCTCACTCACCCTGCACGCAAGGGAAGGGACAGGAGACAGAAGCCCTTCTTACCTAGGGTGACAGCTGACTGCTCTGGGACATTGATGACGATTTCTTTGAGACTCTGCACATAACGTATCCGATCCAGCAGAGGGATGAGGAAATTCAAACCCTGCGACAAAGGTGCGATTGGACAGCTGAGCCCTGAAGCCAGGCAAGGGTTTTCCCACCCAGACAGCTCAGAACAGAGGGAAGTACAAACGAACCCCAAGCACGACGTGCTCCCATTGCTGCCAATAAGTTTACTTCACACACGAGGGAGCTTAAATTACCTACTGCCATAACACCCCACTACAGGAAATTCGTCTACAGGCAGTTTTAAAAGGATCGCAGTCGGTACGAACAAGCACAGGCACTCGGACCATCCCCTCAATCCGCGCACAACACACGTGCTCGCTACCGCTCTAGGAACCTGAGGAATCCAGGAGGGGAGAAAAGCGGCTCCTTACAGGCTCGAGGATGCGGTGGAACTTGCCCATCCTCTCCACCACCCAGGCCTCCTGCTGCGGCACGAACAGCACGCCGATATTGACGGGCAGCCCGGAGTTCAGCCGTTGCGGGGCCGGGGCCAGCCACGCCGGGCGCTTCAGCACTGGTGCGCGCTGCGGAAAGGAAAGGCACGGAATGGGGCCGGCGCTCCGCACGCCTCTCATCCCCCGCCGGGCTGCCGGCCTCCATCCGCTCCGCGCGGCGAGAGGACCGGGCTGCGATCCGGGGCTCCCCGCGGCCGCACACGGAGCTCGCGCCGGCCGAGGTCGCCGCCCCGCTCCCCTCGGACCCCAACACGCTGCGGGACACTCTGAATCCCGAACCCCGCGGTCCCCGCACCCGCAGCAGCCCAGGCCCGGCTCGCCGCGCCGCCTGCGCCAGCATCGCGCCGCTCCCCGCCCGCCGCCCCGGAATGCTCTCCGCGCCGCCCCGCCCCTTCCGGGAGAGCCGCCCGTTTCCTCCTCCCGGCCCGGCCCGGCCCGGCCGCCTCGCCCCATGGTTCCGCAGTGCCCGAGGTCGGAGGTCCGGGTTACGTTTCCAAACGTTTATTAAATAGAAACCAACACAGAAGTACCGCTACTGCGCTCCGGGCGGGGCCCCAGCACGGAGTGCCGCGGGGCGAACCCCCGGCCCTGGGGTGCCGCAGGGAGAGGCCAGCGGGGTTCTGGGGCGAAGGGCAGGGGCAGCTCCTCACCTGGCCCTCACGGGCCCCCTGGGAGGGGGGGGGGTTCCACCCGGCCCCTGAAGGGCCACAGCCCCCGCTCCGTGTCATTCCGGCCGGTGGCTGGCGCCCTGCGCGGAGCCGCGCCCCAATACGCACGCACGGTGATGTTTCAGCCACGTGGAATTGATGCCCCCTCTCGGCCAACCCTCCAGGCTCGTTCTTCGCCCCTGCCCTCACCCCCATCACCCCGGCTGTCCCCTGCCAGGAACCATATCTCCAACACCTCCGCACCCCTATGACAATAAATACTAATAAATACAAACTTCTGAACTTTCTGCTCCCAACCCACGGCCGGGTGCAGGTTGGGAGGAGCCCTCCCCCTCAGCTCCAGCCACACCTCCCAGCTTGCAAAAGTCCTGGGCATAGCCCCAGAGTGCTCCCCAGCCCCTGCCCCTCCTCATAAATCCCCTTTGGTGATGCCAGCTCTGTCCCAGGGCACAGCTGTGACATCAGTGCTGCTCAGGAGGATGGGTGCGTAGGGTTGGGGACACTTCCAGGTGGCTGCGCTTGGTCTCTCTTTTACTCAGTGATCCCCAAAGCACCGGGCTGGGCACTGCTCGGTGGCCCTGAGCAAGGGAGAAGGTCAGGGCCAGGGTGAGTAGCGAGGGTTTCTTGGCATCTCCGTGAAGGATTTCAGTTCATATGGGATCCCCGAGTCGACCTCAATCGACTTGCGTGAGAAAAGCAGCCGGATGTTGTCATGAAGGTAGATCTTCCCAGACTTGGAGCTGTGAAATCTGAGAGAAGGATGAAGGAATTTTAGGCGTGCACACAAGGGCCAGGACAGCCTAACTGACAGCAGGGGACACAGCTCCCTTCCCTTCTGTGGCCCCTGATCAAGGTAGCCACATTCCGGTTGCCTTTGGAGGGATAAAACCCACTGCCCTTGGGCAGAACAGCAGCTTCCACCTCCTTGCAGCCCATCAGTGCAAACAGAGGCTGGTCCCTGCTCCTCCTCACAGCTGCAGGGTCAGGCTGCCGTGTTCCTAGACCACCAGGTCTATAGATTTGGAGAAGGAAACATAGGGAAAAGGGGTCTGGGAGCCCAGGGTACTCATGGGCAGGTCCCACCCCACCCAGTATTCCTACCTCAGGTGCATCAGGTAGCAGAGGACCCTGCGGGGTGGGTCGGAGCCTGGTGGCTCACTGCAGGACACAGTGGCCCCCTTCTCTTTCCCCACAGGCACCAGGAAAATGCGGTGGCGTAGGAAGGTCATGTGATTGGCAGGCATGTCCTGGAAGTCGTACGTCACCAAGAACATCTTCACCACAGTCTTGTTGGGGTTAAATAAGGTCTGCGGGTAGAGGATGGATGGGTAGTGGTCAGACAAGGTAGGTACTGCTGGGGCATCTGGCCCCATGTCAGTCCCAGGGGGTTTTGCATGAGGCTCAGCTCTTGCCCAGTCCATAAAATCCAGCAAGTGTTGCTCAGAGACCCAGCCAACACAAGTAAGTCATACCCACCCAACTCTACTCTTGTGCTCCCATCCCATTGTCACTGCACATATACAGTCTCCTGCTGGGGACCCCACTAGCCTTGACCTTCCCCAAATCTCCTGTCCCTGTGTCTCACAGCAAGCACCCTGGGGGGTCCCATGCTTCCTCCACCATGCTTTTTTGTGTGCATGCAAACTCTTGATAGAAACAGAAAAATTCGATGCCCCATTTTTGGAAGCATTCAAGGCCAGGCTGGATGAAGCTTTGGGAAGCCTACTCTGGTGGGAGATGTCCCTGCCCCACAGCAGTGGTTTGGAACTAGACGGTCCCTTCCCAAGGAAGACATTCTACGACTGTGTGATAATGCAGCACGTCCACTTTGAGAAGCCACAGGAGCCCACTCACCACTTGGATGGTTCCAGCTTTAGGAACACTGTAACCCTTCTTTCCCAAGGCTTCCAAGTCAATCACTCCCTGGGGCAAAAGAAACAGCATGTGTGAGAAGGAGAAATGTATTGTCCAGATGGGACCTGGCAGTGCCGAGATCCCATTTCTTCTTTGCTTTGCAGGTTAAATGGTAGTGTCCTCAGACTTGAGGACTTGAGCCGTGCTTTCCAGAGACGCGCAGCCCCCCGATTAGAGAACATGCAGCGTCTGGACACAGCCCCCAGTCACCTCCCCCACAGTCCCAGCCCACCCGTGTACCAGGAAAGGCGAGGGCGCGCTGTGCTCGGAGATGTCGAAGTAGGTGACGTCCACGGGCAGGGTGACATGCTGCGGGCAGTAGGAGCCGCTGGCACCAATCTCTGCGGTGAACCCCTCGATGCGCCCCGATGGTGCAAAGCGCCCTTTCAGGATGGACTCCTGAGAAAGGAGGAAAGCATTACAGACCTTCCAGCACTGTGCAAGGTAAACAATCTGCACTGCAGGCTGGTGTCTGCGGATCCTTGTGTGCCTCCAGGCTCTCTGGAGGCCCTGGCTGCACGTTCAGACAGAACCCACAGGTGGGCTTAAATCACCCTTCTGACACAGAGGAAGTGCTGGCTAAGCTGTCCTCTTGGTGAACATCTGCTGGCCAACATAGCCAACACGTGCTGGGCCCTTGGACAAGCCACCATACCCCATGCCAACTGCTGTAGAAAGCAGTTGGCTCTCATCAGGCTCAGCTTCTCCCAGACTGGTGCCAGCCCAGCCCAAGCTTTCAGGACCCACCTCCCTCCCTAGCAGGCCATCACGATATGGGCACCATTACCTCAAAATTGCCCAGCAGAGCATGGCTGACAGTGGTGGTGGCCCAGGATGATGCAGAGGAACGGGTTCCTCTCCGGAGGCTGCTCCGGAGATGTCGCCTTGAGAGAGAGGAGAATATCAGCACGGGACTGAAGAGCAGAGACCTGGGCCACACATGTTCCTCAGAGTGCAGATCCCTCCCCAGTGGGAATGGGGGCACGTCCCTCTCTCCTGCCCCTTTCCTCAGCGGAGGTTGAACTCATTTTCCTAACCCTGGAAGCAGTCTCCCTCCACCTCACAGCCAGGGCTCTTGTGGGTCTTGAAAGCCAACCCAACCTGGCCACCCCACTGGGATATAAGGTGCTGGGACCACTGTACTCGAGACCCTGCAGTGGGGCCTCGCTGCCACGACACTCACGATTTGAGGCGCAGCCCGCTCTTCAGCCTCCTCCCGACTGTAGTGCAATCTGCAGAGCTCTGGAAAGGACATGAAACCAGGAACTGTATTAGGGCAGCAGCTGGGGATGTGCACCTCAGGAGATGCTACCACCCATTGCCCTGTCCCACAATGGTCCCAGCAGATGAGACAAGTCCCTCTGAGGCTGAGCAGCACAAGACATCTGGGGCTAAAGGGCTGCCCAAATCCAGAGCTGGCTACAAGGGCAGGTCCTCACCCTCCCAAACTGGGCCTGTTGAGGAAAGCAATGGTAGTGCCTGAGCCAAGGGTACAGCACGCAGCCTCCCACCCTGAAAACCAGGTCCTAAGGAATGGCAACACATACGACAAAGCTCCCTGGGCAGCCTGGGAAAAGTCCCATCCCCGTGCAATCTGTGCAAAGTCTGGGCACAGGTTCATGCTGCCCACAGCCGGGCTCCTATAGCTGCAGAGCGGGGGCCTAAAGCCACATTGCTGTCTCCTTTTAAAGGCACCCCTTTTTCAGGGGTTTTCCTTTCTGGAAGCCACACAAAAGGCAGCACAGCACAAAGGGATGACGGAACTGGCTGGCATGACTGAGAAGGCATGACAAGGGAAGCTACTGGAGAGCCTCACTCTGCTGCTGGGGCAGCCAAGCTGGGGACAGTGACCAAAAAGGGTACGAGGGCAGGGATAGAGCTGTGTCCCATGCACGGTGCATTCCAGCTCTGAGAAGCAATCAGCCAAGGGTGCCTCTGCTTCTGCAGAGACAAGTGACAGCCTACATACTGCCTGTCCTAGGGCCAGCCACCAGCCACTGCCCTTCCCATGCCTGTGTTGTACCACTGGGACAATACGTAATGCCATGCCACTGTGGGCTACGTGCCCAAAAAGAACAGCCCAGGACATTCCCTGCCTCCTCCTGCCCCTGCAGTGACACTCACCTTGGCTGTGGGAAGCAGGTGATTCCAGAAAGGGGCTCCCTTGGCGTCGGTGCTGCGGCAAGCTGTGGGCACTGGGTGGCATGGCAGGGCTCTCTTCTTCCTCACCGGCTGGGATAGGCTCTCATCCTCGGAGCAGGAGTCAGCCATAATCTCACCAGCCGGTAGCAACTTCCTTTTGGCTGGGCAGCTGCTGCTGCTGCTGTTCCCACAGGGTGTCTTTTCCTGGGAGCTCAGGTTGCTAGGCTCAGGGCTGAGTAACATCTGTGGGGCTAGAGGCTCCTTGCACCCATTAGCCACCACCGGCCATTCCTCTGCTTCGCCAGCCCCGCAGCGGTGAGCGGGGCTGCTGCCTGGCTTCTCTCCCCTCCCACCACAGTCCAGCTGGGGTTTTTGTGCAATATTGTGCAAATCAAGGTCAGGTAGGTTATGGTCACTCATTTGCTCCCCATTCTCCCAGCAGTCTGCAAGCTGATTCCCCGGTGGGACCGGGCAACTATCTCTTGTGTGCAAAGTACTGCAAGCAATGTGCTGTGGCCAGAAGGAGGAGGTATCTTGCGGCTTGTCCTCTCTATTGGCCTTAGGGCTGGGACTGCTCACACACCGGTGCTCCACCACCTGCAGCCCACTATGGGAGAAATGCTGGGCAGAGCCGCACAGAGAGAGCTCGTCCACCAGCAGACCATCCTCAAAGGTATCATCGTCCTCC